CTTTGCTTCTTCACTCACTTAGAAGCTCTTAATTTTTCTTGATGCTTAAAATTAAAATGGGAAGGGGCATTTATACTACTCAAGAACAATCCTACACCACACAAATAAACTAATTTAAACATTACAAATTCAACAAATATCTAACTCTCACCTAACTAAATTGATGTAAGCAATGACATCATTACTTAAATGATGTAAGCAATGACATCATTACTTAAATGATGTAAGCAATGACATCTTTAATTAAATTATGTAAGTAATGACATCAATTTAGTTTGGGTTTGGGTTTAGGCTCCCATAATGGATCAAGTTTATGATCCAACCTCCCCCCTTAAACTTGATCTCGTGACCCCTAGTAGGTTCCTTAATCTTAAGAAGTCTTCGCTAGTCAGTGGCTTGGTAAAAATATCAGCAACTTGATCTTGTGACTTCACGTATTCAACTTCCACATCTTTTCTTGCAACACACTCCCTTATATAGTGGTAGCGAATATCAATGTGCTTGCTTCGATCATGGAATATTGGATTCTTCGCTAAGGCAATGGCTGACTTGTTGTTGACACAAACCTTGGTAGGCTCTTCTTGTATCAAACCTATCTCCTTCAATAGATTTCTAAGCCAAATTGCATGACAAACGTATGAGGTAGCAGCAACATATTTCGCTTCACAAGTGGACAATGTGACAATCGGTTGTTTCTTTGACATCCATGTGAACGCAATATCTCCCATGAAAAATACGAATCTAGTAGTGCTCCTTCGATTATCTATGTCTCCACCCCAATCACTGTCGCTATATCCAACAAGCTTGTAATCGTTAGAAATTGAATAGAACAAGTCAAAGTCAATTGTACCTTTCAGATAACGAAGAATTCTCTTTGTGGCTTTAAAATGGGTGGTTGTTGGAGATTCCATATAGCGACTAACCAATCCAACTGCGTGAAGAATATCGGGTCTCGTGCAAGTTAGATAGCGTAGACTTCCTACCAAACTTTTGAAGAATGTTGGATCTACACTTTCGTCTTCTTCATGTTTGGTCATCTTGATCCCGTATTCTGCTGGTGTGCTTATTGGCTTACAGTTCTCCATCTTAAACTTCTTCAGTATCTCCTTTGCATAGCTTTCCTGTGAAATGAAAACTCCATCATTTTGTTGCTTAACTTCAATGCCAAGGTAGTACGCCATGAGCCCCATGTCTGTCATCTCGAATTCTTTCATCATCACATCCTTGAATTCATTAAACATGCTTGGGTTGCTTCCAGTGAAGATCAAATCGTCCACATAGAGACACACGATCAAAATATCTTCATATTTGATCTTGATATATAGAGCATGCTCGTAGGGACATTTGTTGAAGCCATTCTCTTGGAAGTACTTGTCGATTCGGCTATTCCATGCCCTTGGTGCTTGTTTTAGAACGTAAAGAGCCTTCTTCAACTTCAACACCTTGTCTTCGTGCCCTTTGACTTAATAGCTTGATGGTTGCTGAATGTAAACTTCCTCTTCAAGAACTCCATTTAGGAAGGCGGACTTTACATCCATCTGTTGTATCTTCCACTTGTTTTGAGCTACCAAAGAAATGATTAGTTTGATAGTCTCCAATCGAGCAACAGGAGCAAATACCTCATCATAGTCAATTCCAGTCTTTTGACTATAGCCTTTAGCAACTAGCCTCGCCTTGTGCCTTTCAATCTCTCCTTTGGCGTTTTGCTTTGTTTTGTACACCCATTTGACACCTATCGCCTTATGTCCCTTGGGAAGTGAGGTAAGTTCCCATGTGTCATTCTTCTCGATGGCCTTGATTTCTTCATCCATCGCATCTCTCCATTTCTTTTCTTGTACCGCTTCTTGAAAGCTCACTGGTTCACAATCGGCAAACAAACAAAATAATGTAAGATTATCTTGTCGTTCAGTTACCTCATAGAGATCTCTAAGGCTTCTTGTGTGTTGAACAACTCTTTCACTTTGATTCCCACTTAACGATGACGAAGGTGATGAGTCTCCTTGAGTGGTTGATGTTGGTGAAGTGGGTGGAGTTGCAAGCTCTTGTTGAAATTCATCTAGTTGTTCCCTCATTGTCTGCTCATCTTCTCAAACTGAGGAAAGAAATTGAAGGCATCTGTATGAGAGTTAAAATCCCATTCTCCTTATTCATTGAAGACCACATCTCGACTAATCACAAACTTCTTATTGTTTGGATTGTACAACTTGTAGCCCTTCGAATTAGCATCATAGCCGATGAAGATAAAACTCTCGCTTTTATCATCAAGCTTTGTTCTTCTCTCGTCTGGTACGTGAACATGGACTATACTTCCAAAGGTTCTCAAATGGGAAATGCCAGGCTTTCTTCCACTCTATGCTTCTTGCGGTGTTTTTCCCCATACACTTCTTGTTGGAGATCGGTTTGTCAAGTAGACTGCACACGCTACTGCCTCCGCCCAAAATTCCTTAGGTAGTTTCTTGCTTTTGAGCATGCTTAGTGCCATGTCGATGACTGTTATGTTCTTTCTTTCTGCCACACCATTTTGCTGGGGGGATCTAGGAACTATCATTGGTCGACGAATTCCATTTGCTTCACAGAACTCTTGAAACTCCCTGGAAGTAAATTCTCCACCTCGATCAGATCTCATGGATTTGATCTTTCTACCGCTTTCTCTCTCCACTGCTGCTTTGAACTTCTTGAAGACTTCAAAAACTTCTGACTTCTGTTTCAAGAAATATACCCAGGTTTTTTTTGAAAAATCATCAATGAAGAGAAGAAAATAGTTATTGTTACCGAGAGAGCTCGACTTGATCGGTCCACACACATCGGTATGGATGAGCTCGAGTGGCTTCTTGGCTCTTGTCTCTGACTTCTTTGGAAAGCTTTTCTTGAATTGTTTCCCATCTAGACACCCTTCACAAAGCTGGTCAGGATGGTTGATGCGAGGTAGTCCCTTCACCATCTCCTTCTTAGATAGCAGCTCTAGACCTCCAAAATTGAGATGCCCAAATCGAATATGCCAAAGCCATGATGCATCTTTATAGCAAGCTTTTAGGTACTTTGCAACATCATTTTGTCTGTTGATCAAGAACATTCTATTCTTTAACATCAGTACTTTAGCAATGAAGTTATTCTTATCATCTTTTATAAAAAGATTATAATTATTCATGTGAATATCATAACCTTTCTCTACCAGTTGCCCTAAACTTAAGATGTTACTTTTCATATTGGGCACATAGTAGACATTTGAAATAAATTGATGCCTCCCATCTTTCAAACGGATAAGAATGTTACCTCTCCCTTTCACTGCTATTGTGGAATCATCTCTAAATGAAACATTTTCGCTTACTGACTCGTCTAGCTCCACGAACATGTCTTTCCTTCCACACATGTGATTGCTTGCACCACTGTCAAGATACCAGGAATTTGCTTGGCCACCATCAGTTTCCTTTCGTGCTAGAAGAAGAGTTTCTTTGCCATCTGTCTTTTCCTCCACGTAGTTAGCCTTCTCCTCAATTTTGTTGTTGGAAGCTCTACATTCTGAAGCATAATGCCCAAACTTTTGACAATTATAACATCGAACTTGAGATTTGTCATGCCTTGAGTTCGGATTGATTCTTCCACGGCCTCGTGTTGAGCTTTCTCCTTTCTCATAGTTGTTGTTGGAATTGTTGTTGTTGGAATTCCAGCCTCGTCCACGACCTCGACTTCCACCTCGTCCATGACCTCTACCTCTTCCTTGACCACGTTGGTTTCTATCATTGCGTTGGCTTTCATGCATATCTTTGAGTTGCAGCTTGAGGAGTTGCTTAGTAAACTCATGCTTCTTCTTATGCTTCACTTCGTATGCTTGCAATGATCCTTGGAGTTACTCGATCGTCATTTCTTCCAAGTCTTTAGTTTCTTCAATCGTCACGACGATGTGCTCAAATTTGGGATCCAATGAACGGAGTATCTTCTCTATTATCCTCACATCGTCTAACTTTTCACCATTTCTTTTTAATTGATTAGAAACAACTACTACTCTTGAGAAATAATCTGAAATAGACTCAGATGCTTTCATGTTTAAGGATTCGAATTCATCTCTTAATGTTTGGAGACGAACATTCTTCACTTGCTCGGATCCTTTGTAAGAGGTTTGCAGCTTCTCCCCCGCTTCCTTGCTAGAGCTTGCACTTGAAATCTTTTCAAAACCATCATCATCTAATGCTTGATAGATGAGGTAGAGAACCTTCTTATCTCTCTTTCTTGAATCCTTCAAAGTTGTCTTTTGATCTGGTGTAAGAGTAGCAAAAGCATCATCATCCACAGGCTCGTTATAGCCTTTCTCTATGATATCCCACACATCTTGTGATCCAAAAAGTGCCTTCATTTTGATACTCCAATTGTCGTAGTTGTTGTTGTTGAGTGTTGGAACTTGGAATGGTGCCATACCATTTGCCATATCTCTCAATATAATGAGATTTTGTAAAATCCGATTGCACGGATGAATCCGGAACGCTGAAAAAAACTTTGGAGGGACTTGGACAACTCGGTCAAGGGCTCCAACTCGGCTGACTCGGCTCAACTCGGTGAGTCAACTCGATTTTCTGGCAGCAGTCTTCTGGTGGTGCGTCAGAACTCAGATTGAGAAAATTCTGGCGACGTCGGATTCCTCTCGTCGAGACCTTTTATTGAAACTCAAACAAATATTACAAGAGCACTCTCACTCAAAAACAACAACTACAACTTACTCTTATAGGACTTTGCTTCTTCACTCACTTAGAAGCTCTTAATTTTTCTTGATGCTTAAAACTAAAATGGGAAGGGGTATTTCTACTACTCAAGAACAATCCTACACCACACAAATAAACTAATTTAAACCATTACAAATTCAACAAATATCTAACTCTCACCTAACTAAATTGATGTAAGCAATGAAATCATTACTTAAATGATGTAAACAATGACATCTTTAATTAAATGATGTAAGTAATGACATCAATTTAGTTTGGGTTTGGGTTTTGGCTCCCATAATGGATCATGTTTATGATCCAACACCCAGTCCTCTCCAGGATTCCTGTGTTGCTGTCAAGGACATAAAAAATGGCGGTATGTAGTTCACTTTATGTTAAAGCCTCAGCTGAAGAAAAATCAGTTTAGTTTCAATGTTTTAATATAACTTTTAACGTTTCTTCATTGCAGTGTTTGTAAACGGTAAATTCTGTAAAGACCCAAAGCTTGCAGTTGCAGAAGATTTATTTTTTTCAGGCCTAAACAAGCAGGGGAACACAGCTAATCCAGTTGGATCAAATGTCACTGTGTTCAATGTTGATGCATTTCCAGGACTTAACACTCTCGGCTTATCTTTGGCTCGAGTCGACTTTGCGCCTCATGGCGTTAACCCTCCTCACTTTCACCCTCGAGGATCTAAGTTTTTACTTCTTCTCGAAGGTACACTTTATGTCGCCTTAGTTACATCAAACCCGGACAACCATCTCTTCACGAAAATATTAAACCCCAGAGATGTTTTTGTTTTCCCATTGGGTATGATTCATTTCCAGTTCAACATAGGGAAAACTGCGGCGGACGCCTTTGTTGGTTTCAACAGCCAAAATTTTGGACGATTTGACGTAACACCCTATCAGTTTAGTATGCCTGAACTAACACCGTTTGATCAATATTTCCCGAAGTAACACCCTTTTGGCTGAGTTGGCACAAAGGCGCGTCCCTGGGGACGCGCTTTCACGGGGTTTCAGCTGAGTCGGATGTTTGGTTTTTTTAATAAAGATTTAATGTTTATTGTTATTATAAATTAGTAATTTATTATGTAAACTGTTTCGGTTATGATTTAAGAATTGTCGAATGTATTTTTTAAATGTGTATTAAAGGTGGAGTAAATTTATGGTAAAGTGTTATACGTTTTAGGGAACAAGCCTTTAGGGTTAGGTTCGATTAAATTGAAAATGTTAACTAGTTGAAGTAAGAGGTAAGTGGAAAATTTAGGCAGAAAATATATACATTGAGAAATTATAGAAAATGCAATTACATTTATATATTAGAAACAAAAATATTCATTGAAATAGAAAATGCAATTACATAAGGGTTAACGGTTATGTGATGACAATAGAGCTGGACATTTTTTTTCTATTGTGCCCGATGTTTCTGCAATGCCCACATCTTTTTTGTTCTGTTGACTGCTCCCGAATATCCATATCACAATGTATTCTAGTGGATTTTGGATGACCTGAGTCCCTCAATAAAAACAGATCTGGTACAATTGTAAGCCAAGTTTGAATCCCATCTGGGTCTCTTTCATTACCTATGGGCGGAAACTCAAATTCATGTACCTTGAATACTTGTGAAAGTTGGTATACGGGATCAACATAAATTTTGTAGTCCAAATGCGAATGTGAGCAAGCTGCAATGACATGAGAGCATGGATATTTGAGTGCTTGAAAGAAACCACAATCACACCACCTCTCTTGCAAATTAACTCTGAAAGAGTTAGCTTCAATCCCTTGAAGAGGACGAGGCATTTCGGTTACACAAAATAATTCACGGGTGCGAGAAAAATTTGTAACCAACATCTCATATAATGCAGCCACTTTTTTCTGTAAATCAGCTACTAGTCTTGGGTGATAAATATGGTCATTCTGCATCCAAGTAAGAGTTTGTCCACCGAGCTTTGCAAATAGTTGACCCAAACGAAAATAAGTCATTTTGACCAACGCCGTGACTGGTAAATGACGCCCCCCTTTTAAGGTTGAATTGATTACTTCAGCCAAGTTGATTGTCATATGACCATAGCGATACCCCCCCTTCATACGCATTTGTCCACATTTCTTTGTTGATGTCCATAATGTACTCGCATCCCTTCTTATTTTTGTCAAACAATTCTTGTAGCATAGACTCAAATATTTGAGGTAAGAGTTCATAACCTAAGCCATTGGAAATATGTTATAGTTAATATGAAGTATAAATAAGTAATACGAAAATGAATGAAAAATTGGAAAAAAGTAACATACCCATGCACACGACTAATTGACATTCATCATTCTTCTTGTATTTTTCGTAATAGTTTGCAGCAATATGACAGACATAATAATGATGTTGAACATGTGGAGGTTTCCACATTGGACCCAAAGAGTCCATTGCTGCTTTTATCCTGGCTCCTTGGTCTGAAATAATGCATATGTGTTCCCTTGTGACGACATGTAAATGTAAATTTTTAAGGAAAAAAGCCCAAGACTTAGTGTCTTCTCCTTGAACGAGGGAAAAGGCAACATGAAGAATATTGTGGTTACCATTTTGGACCACAACCAATAATAAAACTTGCTTGTATTTCCCATACAAGAAAGTACCATCAATTGGACAACTGGTTTACAGTACTTCACTGCATTAATACACTGAGGGTAAGACCAAAAGACACGGTAAAATTGGCAGCGATCGTGAACCACTCGATCATTCACGTAATGATGTTGAGTTTTGAACTCAACAATTGTCTCGGGATTAAGTCTTTGCATAACATGAAACCAACTGGGCAGCTCGTTGTAAGAGGAATCTCATTCGCCATGAAGTTTGACAATGACATTCTATTTTGCCAACCAAGCTTTTTTTATAGGAGACAGTGTACCCATATTGTGATTGTATAACAGAAATCAACACTGTAACAACTATATGAGAGCTTTTCTTCATAATGGGCATGATTTCTTGGCAAATAATGTTGGAGTCCAAGTTGGGATGATCCTGGTTTATACCTCTTGAACAACAAGTATGATGACCGTTGTATCTGGTTAGTTCCCATAAGTTGTTCTTCCTCTTTGATACACAGACCATCCACTTACATCCGTTGTCACGTTGGATACAGTAGCAGACATATTTATCCGTGGTAGATCGATCAACTCGGGAGTGAACTGAGTTATGAATATTGTAACTCTTTATTGCCATCATTACTTCCTCTTTCGATATGAACTCCATTCCAATATGTAAATCACTGTCATTGACTGATGACTGAAGTCCATAGTTGCAAACATTAGGGAGATCTGGAAATTCAGGCTCTTACATTGCATCATAATCAGCCCCATACATATGTGCAGGAAGTTCGCCTGGTGTTGTATTTATGGGAACATCATCCTCATCATCATTAGAGTGTATGTTAAACTGTGGTAAGTCAAGTTCAACGAATAATCCCGTTTCAGCACCATCTGCACCTGGCTCCTGAAGAGGTTATTCTGGTGGAGATGAGGGTTCCTCAGATAATCCAATGTTGAGGTCAAAGAAGTTGCTGCTTGCGTGTCCTCCCCTTGAACTTAAAGCCATTGTATCATGTGGGTTGTGAATAGACTGCCGTCTCGATGGCATTTCCATGTGTAAGTCAAAAACAGTGGCAGATGAATGTCTACCCCTTGAAGTAGAAGAGATGTTTCCATATGGATTATTGGTGAAGCCACGTGAGCTGAGATTATAAGTAGTTCCTGATGAATGCATTCCTATTGAACTTGATGGCATGGCATCTGGCGTTGGATTTTCCATTAATGATGTGAAATCATTACAGATCAGTTGCGTCAGACTATCAACTTGATCAGCTTGATATGCAATGCCAAAGTGAGAGGAACATGAGAGACCACGAGAAGCACGGACCTCAATAAAAGTGGCATACATTTCAATAAGAGATTGTGAACTTCCCATATGAGAATCAACCATCATAGCAACATCATCATCGTTGGAAAACTGAAATGATATATATGTGACTGGAAAAAGTTCAGTACGAAATCTATACTGAAGTGAAGATAGTCTTCTTCGGCCTCCTACACGAATTTTAAACGAAATTTTTGTGATTAACTCCTCAAGAGTGTTGTTTCTCTTCAAGGTTAAGGGGATATAATGATCTGATTTAAAAACAACCCCCTCTTCAGATTCCTTAATTTCTCTATCATATAAAACAACAACAGAAAGATGACTCATTTTCAGAGAATACAGGATTGAGATTTTTGAGAAATTTAGAATTTGAGATTTTGAAAGCTAGGGAGCTGAAGTTTGTTTTGAAAGTTTATAATACGATGCATATAATAATGTCTATAACAAGGGTACTATTCATGTGAAGACGCGTTTTAGGGGGCGTGCTTTCTCTTTTTTTTGTCAGAGAATATGTTATAATTGCCCTATTATGTGAGTCATGTCCCTGGGGGCACTATTCATGTCAGTACCTATCATGTTTGAGGGGACGCAACAAAGTGATGAAAGACGTGTTTCAAGGGGCGCGTCTTCCATTATTTTGTTAGAGAATATGTTATAATTGCCCTATTATGTGAGTCATGTCCTCGAGGGCACTATTCATGTCAATACCTATCATGTTTGAGGGGATATAACAAAGTAGTGAAAGTACGTCTAAGGGGTCGTGCCTTTCATTATTTTTTCATAGAATATGTTATAATTGCCCTATTATGTGACTCATGTCCCCAGGGCACTATTCATGTCGGTACTTATCATGTTTGAGGGGACGCAATAAAGTGGTGAAAGCGCGTTTCAGGTGGAGCGCCTCCTTTATTTTGTCAGAGAATATGTTATAATTGCCCTATTATGTGACTCATGTCCCCCTGGCACTATTCATGTCGGTACCTATCATGTTAGAGGGGACGCAACAAAGTGGTGAAAGCGCGTTTCAAGGGGCGTGCCTTCTATTATTTTTTCAGAGAATATGTTATAATTTCCCTATTATGTGACTCATGTCCCCCCAGGGCACTATTCATGTCGGTGCCTATCATGTTTGAGGGGACGCAACAAAGTGGTGAAAGTGTGTATTAGGGGGGCGCCTTCCATTATTTTGTCAGAGAATATGTTATGATCGCCCTATTATGTGACTCATGTCCCCGGGGTCGCAACCAAGTGGTAAAATTGGGTAAATTATAATCTATATTTAAGTTATTTTTGGACGTTGAGCAAGTTAAGGATAAAATCATACATATGGATAAATTTATGTTCATAACTTAAATTAAAATGTTATGTGAAGTTTGAATAAATTGGATAAAATGCTATGGATAAATTGAGTAAATGTGAAGTGATAAAGTTAACATTTATGTTGTGACATTGAAATTGTATGGAATGAGCATCGAAATTGAATAAATGTGAAGTGATAAAATGTTATGTGAAGTTTGAATTATTTTCCATTGTGAACTTTTGTTAATGAGATTATAACACGTGGGATTTAATATATATGTTTTATAATGATGCTCATCAACTACTGTGGAATTATTTTTTAAATAATTTTTACAAGACAATGTAATTTAAGTTTCAATTTAAGTGCTGTGAACTATAATTGGAATATAACTTTAAATTTCGAATACAATTTTAAATTCAATTGGAATATTAAGTTGAATTTGGATTTGTATTTTAAAAACATTTCATGTTGAATTTGAATAAAAAATAACTTTAAAAATATAACTTTATAAAATAACATTAAAAATAATTCACGAAACCATTAAACATTTAAATAACATTACAAAATTACATAAATTTCTAAAATATAACTATTTAAATAACATTAAAATACAACTGGATCATCGATGTTGTCTTCTCGAATAAGTTCCACATGCCGGTGGTTGTCTATTTTGCTGAGGATTTCTTCGTATAACTTGCTCTTCAGTCTCCTCATCTTCACTATCATCATCATCATCGACATTTTATTCATTTGGCA